GGAATCGAACCCGGGACCCTTCAGTCCCCAAGCCAACGCTCTATCCATTGAGCCAAACCGGTTTCGGTCCCCTCAAATTTTAACCATTTTTTCTGTAATATATTAATTAAAAAACCATTATATGCAAAGAACTGTATTGTGTTTAGAGGGCTAAGGAAAGTGATTAAGAAATAGAGGTCTGTCCAAGAAGCAAAAATCTCAGCCAACAGATAGATCTCCTGGACATTTTTGGATTACAGACTCTATAATGAGGCATGGATACACCCAGTAATCTGGGTCAAAGTTGAACGCCTGCTAATTTGAGGTTTCTTTTCAACATATAAAATCTGCCAAGTGCTAATCAAATCAAAGGAAGATCACACTGTAATAAGATAACCACATCCTCAAAGGCCGCACTGATGATGGTGTGGGAAAAGGGAAATAAAATGTCAAGAAAATCAGTAGATCAATAATGATAGGGAATTCAATTTTGAAAATGCAAAGGTGTTTGTAGAGTGGAAAATTATAATCCATGTGTCTCTAGTGAAGTCTTGCAGATTAGGTGAAAAATCTCTAGATATTGTTCCGTGAACATAAATGAAGAGAATGCTTGTCATCTTCCATTAGTTGGAACAAGCGTGTTATCCCTGTGGCCCCGTAGGCACAAATGCTGGCTGAGCAGAAGGTCAGAGTCATACAGCTGAGGTTTCGAGGCGCTACAAGTGAGATCAATAACAGGACAACCAGAAATGCCATTCTCACAGCACAGCTTCCAAACATGAAGAAACATACACACACACACACACACACACACACACACACACACACACACACACCCCGCCCCGTCCTAGAAATGAGCTGTGTTGCTTCCCTAAGAAGAGTTTATGTAGACTTGTCTTCTTTTAAAACACACGTCAGCAATGTGCACACGGTTGAGAATGAAGCAATGAAAAATAACTCATCCAGCTCAGCAGGCATGTGTCCTACTTGGGAATCAAACCATGATCTGATCACAGGACAAGGTAAATGTGCTTCAAGGAGAAAAAGACACAAACTGAGCCCAACTGGTGTTGCTCAGGGGCTACTTTCAGGGATGGCATCAGGGACTCAGCACATCAGGGCACTAGTCACCATAGCCATGCCTCCCACACCACTGGTCTGTGAATAATACATGAGGGCAGACTAATGAAGAGCTTCTGTTTCATTGGTTATATGTCACTTTAATGCATATTGGCTGCTTTTTAAACTAATACTTCAAAACTTTATTCATTACTTCTAGAGAGAAAGATAGGTTTAAAAAGTGACTTCGGCGTTGGTTTAATTAGAAATATTAAAAAACTAATCATACAGGTAGTACTTGGAAATGACAATAATGATGAGTGGTATATTAATCGCTGAAGTCTAGAAAACAATGCAGAAGATTGTTTTCTCCTTACCCCATTGTTTTGAAAGCTTCTTTGCTGAGATTTTTTGCTATTTAGTTCCATTTACAAAATACTTATATGGTTAAGGCAGAAAATTCAGAAACACAGAAAAGCACACATGAAAACAATAAAAACCAACTATAATGCTACCCCTTAAAACAAGTAGTTACGATTTTGTTTTTCACCATCCAATTATTTTGCCATAAAAGTAAAATCAAGCCTTCATACTTGGTGTCATAGCCTGGTTTTCCATTTTAAAAGAGCCAGTGAATGCTTCCTGTGTGGTAAGCTTTCTTCTTCAACTACTATTTTACTGGCTGAAAAGTTATCTTTTATGTTGGTTAACTCCACCTTCTTGCACACACCTCAGAGTATTTGCTTATAACCAGTTCCTAGAGGGAAAGCTGCTAGGTCAGCAGGTCTGCCCTTTCCAAATGTGCTTGGCTAACGATTAACAGATTACTCTAAAAAAGGTTAGAATAATAAATTATCCCAATAGTCAGTGATGAGAATATCTATTTCTATAACATTTGCAATGTGTATCATTACCATTGTTATCTTCTTTTTAAAATACATGCATTATTTTCCAATATACTTGCATAACTCCGATTATTAAAGACATAGAATATACAACTAATCAGATATTTAGAATTCATTTATATTTTGTATGAATTACCTGCATATGCCCTTTATCTTAATTTCTATTGATGTGAAGCCCTGAAGTAATAATCAGACTTAGGTGTGAGACTAGAATATAGTACTAAATGCCTTCAGTATTTCTGTCCTCAGAAGTACTTTAGGTTTCTCACAATCTCTTTTAGCTAAAGACAATCATTATTCTTGGGAGAGAGGCCATTATTTTTTATTGTGTTCTTTTCTAACTCATGGGAGAGATTTAGAAAATGTGAGTCAAATTAATTTATTTTTTAGGAGAATACAACAAACTATGGTTTGGCCACACAGCCCTATTCAACAAGTTCAAAAATACTGAGATAAGAAATGGCATAGAAATGGATTCATTCCAATGATGCTGACATTTGAGCAAGAACAGAAAACACACATAACACACTGAAGTAATTAAAAAAAAAGTTAATCCCTTGGATAATTGTTTGCCTGTCTCTAATTTCTAATCTTACTTACCACCTGGGCGGGTGATTGTCAATCTTTCTGGAGCTCTGACAACCCACCTCCTTGTGGTGGAGAAGGTAGCAGTGGAGTTAGTGGTGGTGGTAGATGGTAATACTACCTGCCTACACTATGAGGGGTGTAATAATATTTTAAATTGAAAAATAATTTAATTTTATGTTGAGGAGAATTTTAAAATACTTCTTGGCCCATCAACGGAACCCTCTACCTTTGGGTTGGCAATCAGTGTTCTGAATTAATGTGGCCAAGGAGAAAATAGGATGTCAGAAAATCTTTAAATGTAACATACACATTATATTATGAAATGCTAAATAGATCCCTACTTACTAACAAACCCAGAAAATTCTGGGTAAGTCATAGAATGGACAACAAGACCTATTTGCCAGTTAAAATAATCTGCTGCCATCCGTTTATTAATTCAGTAGGCAATTATTGATCACTTGCTATGTGCAAGAATTGTTTCAAGGATTGTACTGGAAATATTAGCAAATAATGAAAAGGTGAATGAGGCTAACTGTCAAGTGGAAAATGAGCAGGAGAGGAAAACTGATAATAAACAGGCAAAAATAAATGAATAAGAAATGGAAAACAGAAATAGAACAGGGATATGGGATGGAGTGACTCGGTGAGGTGTGAGGCAAGGGAGAACTTTAGATAGGATGGCCTGGAAGGCTGCTTGGAGAAGTTGGCATTTAACTGTGCCAGTGTGCAAAGGTCTTGCCAAGAGCATAGTAATCTGAGGGGCAAGCAAATGCAAAGGCCCAGATGAATGTGAAGTGCTGGGGAAATGGGAAGGCCTGTTGGAGAGTATGTGGGGAAAGTGGTGTGAGCAGCCCTGGCTCATGTACTGCCTCAAGCCTTAGAGAGGAGTTGGGGTGCCTTCTAGGGGTGATGGGATGCCTCTGGAACAGGACTGGCATGATGCGATCACTCCTGCTGTGCTTGGTGGGTGCATTACCATGGGAGGAGGCAGTATTACCAGTTGGGTAGACACTGTGGTTGTCCAGGCAAGAAATGTTGGTGCCTTGAGCTAGGAGGTAGCCATGGAAGTGAAAAAAGTAAGCCTCCAAATCCTGTAGCTCTTATACCAATCCTCTGTGGCTCTTTCCGATATCGTGTTGACTTTTTGTCTCTTCCAGTGGACTACAATGTATTTTAACCACTACCATTTATAAAGTCCGCATGCTACTCTGGGATTTATACACATTGATTCCTTATAATGATTTCATCCCAAGCTCACATGTGGGGAGGTTAGCTAACTCTCTGCAGCCATAAGCTAGTGAGGGGGTCATATTAAGATTTACCAAGGTCTACCTTATACTGAGCAAGGCATAAATCTTAGCCAATACACTAGTGTCTCCATTCAACCTACCTTAGGGGCAGCGTTGACACAGGTGAACCAGGCCATAGCTCAGTTTCTCTAATGGTTCTCAAAAGGAGAGGACAGCAAAACAACCGGGGGGGGGGGGGGGGGAAGGCTGGCGCTTGTGTTTAGAATGCAGATTCCAAGGCCCTGCCTGGAGAATGCATAGGTATCATTTCTAGGGCTTGGGCTTGGTCGTGTGCATTTAACAAACGTTCCCAAGTGCCAATCATTGAAATCTGCAGAGATTGCAAAGCTGCCACTCAATAAATATTGGTTATATGAATGCAACCAATGGAAAGGTTTGCAGGAAATGAAGACCTAGGGTAAGTACCTCACACCCCCAACCCCTATCCAGAAAAAACAGAAGCCCATTTTGAGCTGGGCCCAAGCAGAGCCCCAGCTAGCCCCTTCAGATGCTCTCAGAGATTATAGATGTAACTACCGTGTTTCCCCGAAAATAAGACATCCTCTGAAAATAAGACCTAGTGCATGGAAAGATAAGACATCCCCTGAAAATAAGACCTAGCACAACTTTGGGAGAAAAAATTAATATAAGACACTGTCTTATTTTCGGGGAAACAGGGTAATACAGGGGCATGGCATACTCAGGCCTCTGGAAGCTTTCCGTTTCCAATAATTACTCCTGATGGCCAGGCCGGAGGGCCAACGGTCTCCCAGCTGAGGCAGTACAAGCCCCTCAAGAGGGAAACACCACCTACTTTAAAAGCAAAACAATCTTTTCTAAAAAATCAATATTTTGATCTTGTTGAATTTCTGACACATGGGAGCTAGGCCTTACTCATGGGGCTGATACATTGAGCATAATACCTAAGGCCCACCAGACTCCTAGGGGCTCACAACATGTTTTAATTCCTTTTAAAATCAGAAGATAACCACCCCATCCTGTTTTAGCCTGAATTACATTTAACTCTTACCAATGTAGTTGTAAAATATAATTTTAATGTGTTTGGTTTTTTTTATAAATCAAGAAATGGCCCAAGAAGGCAATGGTGTCTAGAGCACACAGAAGGCACCACGTGGCCCTGCTTACTCACACTCTGCACCCAGGTGATTAGGCAGCTTACCTGGCAAGCGTTGTACAAGAGCTGATGTTCAAACTTCTTGATCCCAAGGATGTTCTGGAACATCTCGTAGAGCTGCTCTTTGCTCAGAATCAGCTCAGAGGCTGCGCTGGCGGTCATCCGGGCCTGCTGCTTCCTGGGGTCCTCTTCCCCGCGGTAGATGGCGTCGAACTTGGCCATCCAGGAGCTCAGCACGGTCTCCTTGCTGAGGCCGTCGATCTCAGGGAGGCTGCGCACCCTCTTCTCGATGTGCTTCTTGAAGACCTCCCGGGAGTCGTTGGCGGAGCAGCCCCCACTCTGCACCATGCGGGCCACGCGGTCGCTCTTCAGGAACACCTGAGGATAGCAGGGCCAGGAAAGACATCAGAAAGTCAGTCCTGGAGACCAGCTCACAGGTGTCACAGCAGGCCCGTGTGGTCACAGCCCCATGGCCTCTTAGCTGTGCAAACTCAGAAGTCACACGTTTGGCTTGGGATCCAAATGTGGAAAATGAAAATAACAACAGTACTTAGCAAGGATCTCTGAGGCAGTGATATTCCGGGAAGGCAGCATAAGGTATATAGACTCTGAGCCCAGGCTGCCTGGGTTCTTTCTTTGCTATTTAGTGGCTATGTTTCTTTCAGCAAGTCAATCTCTTGTACCTCAGTTTTCTCATCTCTAAAATGGGGGTAATAGTTCTCTCTACATCACAGGTATTTTAAAATGAAGATTAAATGAGTTAATACATGATAAGCACTTTTAAAAATAGCCCATATTAATACCTAAGGGATTGTAGTTGCTGTTATTACAGTAATATGCAAAACAATTGGGCTGATGTCCTCACATAGCACTTAAATGTTAACCACTACTTACAGCTCGTTTTACTAGTAGCCTCTCAGTGGTCCTGATCATAGTTGAAATGGAACCAGTATTAAGCAAATCTGTATTTAATGTCTGTCTCCCTTTCCAAAATGTAAACGCCTCATGGGCAAGGACTGTGTCCTTCTCGTTCCCCCAATGCCATGGGTCCCCAGTACGTTATCAGGTGCTTTAAGAGGAAGTGGACATAGCAAGCAGGTGTTACATTCAGTCCATTTTGCAGACAGAAAATGGAGACTCCAGGAAGGGAAGGGGACTTGTGCTTGGTCACTCACACTGCCTGCCTATAAACACATGGTCTTGTGGTTCCTTCCTTCCCTCCGGGGCTCCCCTGCCTGGTGGGGAACTGTTCTGTTGGTGCTGCCTGGGTCTTGGGACCAAGACATTCATTCTTTGAGATCAGTTTGCTCTTGCTCCAGTGCCCAGCACAGCCACATGGCCCTGGGGTGTAGACAAGGTGGAGAAGCGGCTGCTTCATATCCACTGGAGGGAACACCTGACATGTGTGAGCTGTGTCATGGTCACCCTTCAGGGGAGCAGATACACCCTTTTGGAGACAGAACAATGATTTGCTCCTTGTTTGGGTGCAGGAATCGCCCTGGTTGGCCAGGAGATGGCATTGCTCGGGGCACATTCCATCGCTGCTGCCTCATTACCAGGGCTCCCTGGGTGAGACGGTTAGACAGGCGGCCCACGCTCACCATTTTTCACTCCGTGCTCTCACTTAGGAAGAAGGAGGCTACGGTCTGGCATCACAGGCCAGAGGCCATGGCCTGCTCGCCTGCACCTCAGAACTGGTCCTCAGCTGAGATGGTAGAGTTCACTTAAAAATCCATTTTAGAAAAAATATTCAAATGAATCCTTAGGCCTTATAACACTTAAGGAGCTCAAGAATTCACCTGAAACTTTGTAATGTTTATACAGATGGTTTCTCCACCGAACACACTGTGACTCAGTTTTAGATCTAGATCTCAAAGAACTTACAAATGTGGAGGCAAACAGAAAAATTTTGTGGGGAGGCAGGAGCTGTAAACCATGGTCCCAGGCCAGTTCTGTCACTGGTTTGCTGTGTGATAGTGGGTAAGTCACCTCCCCTCTCTGACTCTCCAATTTCTAATCTGCACACAAAGGGAGTTGAACTATAATATTTGGGGGTGGTATTCTTCCAGCTGTGATATCTATATTCTTCTTTATGAACCTGTTATTCTTCCTCTGATCACTTAGAAGGTGGGAAGCACTGTGCCAGGTGCCAGATGCAGACCCAGCCTGCACGCCTCCATGACATCATCTTAATAATCCCACCCAAAGAGCTGTTACAAGCTGGGGCAAGCGTTATCAGGGAAAGTACAGGGGTCCAGTCTAAACCCAGGAATTCTTTCTAGTGTGGTCAGGAAAGGCCTGCTGGAAATGACATGTGAGAGATGTTAGGTGAGGAGAGGGTGAGACAGTCTCTCAGAGATTGGCAACAATATGTGTGCAGACCCCACGTGTCTGAGACCAGAGCACCCAGGGTGGCTGTGGCAGTGAGGGGTGGGAGAAGGACCGATGTAAGATGTGCAGGAAGGGGTCAGGTGGCCACAAACACAGGAGGCCACATTCGGTGTGTTGGTCTTCATCTGAAGGGCACTGAGAGGCCGTTGAAGGTTTTAAGCTAAGACGTAACAAAATCAAGTTCACATTCTCTGTCTTTACTGAGGAAAACAGGCCTGAAAGGGGCCAAGAGAACTGGCAGGAAGTGCTGTTGAACTCAAAGGGGCCGGCGTTAACTGTTTTCAGCCCTAATGAGCAGGAGAGGGCACTTGAAAACAATGAACAAAGAAGTCACACTTTCCTCTTCATCTGTTCATACGAGGGTCCCATAAAGCTGGGCCAGTCATAAGCCCTCAGCACCATCTTCCTTCCCCACAACCTCTAACACAGCTGCCACTTGTCATCTGCCTTTGTGACTCCTGGGTAATATCTGAGTGTGAGGAAGGCAGGAGTTATAACTGCTTTTCCCTATTTTTTTTTTTTTCTCCTTCAAGTGTCTAAGACAGTGTCTGGCACGCAATTGGTACTACGTTGAATGAGTGAATGAGTAAGAACAAAGCAGACTTCTCAAAGCAAAGACCCTATTGAGAGCCTGACTGGATGGGGCAAGAAGGTAAAGGCAAAACCAGCAAGCACAATGTATGGACTGAAGTGAGATAGCGGGGGGGGGGGGGGGGGGGGGGGGGGGCTGATAACAGTGGAAGGAAATGACCCAGCTGGCGTCTATACCTAGTGGTGATGCCTGGATCTTGCACACATCACCTGCTTGACACAGTCCTTTCCTTTGCTCCTGTGGTCACTCAGCAAACATTTGTCACTTAAGCTCTATGAACCCCACCCTCCTTCCCTGTCACATGGGGCCCATGCAGCCAGCCGTCTTTGATGGGGAAGGACTTTGAAAAGCAAGGGCTCCATCTGTCCAGAGGTGAGCTCTGATGGCCAGGCCCGGAGGGGACATGCATGGAACGTCAAGAGTGTGAGGAAGGAGGCTGAAGATTGAGGAGACAGTAAAGATGAAATGCGAGACAGCCGGGGGCCGAGGGGTGGCGGCAGAAAACTAATTTTCCAGGCACATCCTCTGTCTTGGCTTGTCAGTCCATCAGAAGGGACCTGGGCCAGCCTCGCCCTGTCTTGAGTACAGCCCTGAGCACCGACATGCTTGTGTCTCTAAAACCACACTGATGCTCATTTGTATTGTGAGCGCTCTCTGGTGTTTTTGTTTTGTTTTGTTTTGTTCTCGGCTGTTCCAAGGGACTTCAACCCCAGGCACAATTCTATGCAGCACATTCATAAATCCTCCCTACTCCTCTGCCAACTTCCAGATAGGTCATAATGGGAGACAGAAGATGAACAAATAAATATGGAATGGTGAAGGGCAATCAATTCAGTGGCTCGCCCTCATCCATCAGTCCCTCCCTCCCTCACCAGAGCCAAGCAACCTCAAGGTTGTTTTAGAAACCCACAGCACACCAGTACTTTAATGACTGCACACGGTGCGGGGCAAAGCTGGCCCAGCCCCACTTCCTTGCTGACAGGCTGAGAAACCAAGACAGCCCCTTTCCTGCTCTACAAAAGCACACCATCCAAAATAAAGAACAAAAAGACCTAGGTGTTAAAGTCAAGAAGGTCTACACACACACACACACACACACACACACACACACACACACACACACACACCCTGCTTACTGCCAGGGAATGGCTGCATCATAAGAGGAGCAGGTTCTAGTTAGAGGACTTGAGTTCAAATCCTGGCTTTGCCAGTTGCTAGCTTTGCTCCTAAGCAAGTGGCCTAATCTTTAGGGGCTTCAGTTTCCTTAACTCTCAAATGAGAATCATAGCTACCCACCTTGTAGGACTTGGGAAAGAATTCAACCAGACAACGCGTGTCAACCCGTGAGCATGGTGTCTGCTGTAAGAATGTAACTAAAGTTATCTATTATTGTTTAACAGATTACCATGCAGCCATGAAATAAACTATTTTTTTCCACATCATCTAAGATGTCCATGATCTGTTGTTAACCTGGAGATTTCCAATGGTACGGTTGAGCTGGGCTAGGAGGATAGGAGCATGACCCTGAATCAAGATCATGGGTAATAAAATATTTTACTGATGAGGGTGTCCTATGTTGATTTTTTGCAAAGGTAAAAAGGAGATTGAAAATTACTGTGCTACTAAAACAAGTGGATTATTAATATACCATAGTAATTTTACATCTTAATACAGAAATCAAATAGCTATTGGTAAGTGTACAGACATATAAAAATATCTGAAGAGATATATACCCCAATTTAATAGTAATTGTTTAGGATGATGGAATTAGAGGTATTTTTTTCTAGCCATTTTCTTTTAGATTTTTTCTTACACTGTCTAGTTTTATAATTGGCATGCTTTACTTTCCTAATTGCTTAAAACAAGTCTTTCTACATGAAAAAAAATACAAAATTTACCTTTGTTGAGGCTAGATGAATGTTAATTTCTAAAATAAAATGCACGTTTGGATCTTAAAGATATCTCTCACCAAAAATTAAGGGATCCTGGTGCAAACTTCAGATGCACATCTGGGGCCATGACCTGTGGTGGATGGTGGGGTTCAGATTCAGCGTGGGGTGCCACTGGATGAAATGGGATAGGAGTAGATTCATACTAATGACAGGGCGCCCATTATATTCTGTGGCCTTTCTAAAGTCAGTCTGCTCCGGTTCCATTTTTTTTCTTATGCTTGATTATTTCTTTTAATAGCAAAACAACAACAAACAGTTGTTCTTGTTGGTATTATATTTAAGGCTTAATTTAACCGCAGTCCGTTTCTGTTACTAGCAACTGGAGGATCCGGTGATACTCATTCAAAGGCAGTTTGATAAATGCTACCCAGGCCGTTGCTGGAGGAGATCAGCTGAAAACAAGATGCAGCAAGCCAAAGTCAGAGCTGTGCATGGCTGACGCCTGATGTCAGCTGTGGGGCTCCATGCGTGTGTGTCTTCACCGACCTGTGCCCTCACTTCCCACCACACCCCACGTTTCCTTCCTGGGATCTGAATGAGAACGGCTTTATAAAACTCTTCCACCACCTCTCTTTCTGAAGGGCCTGGCCTAGTGTGTGGGGAACCAAGGAGATAGGAGGTGTCGGTGAGGCTGGAGCTGAGGGTGAGAGAAGACGTGGGGGCCGGGGAGGAATGGGGCCTCTCCGGGGCTGAGGCTGTGGGAACAGGCTGGGGCCGCTGGGCGATCTCAGAGTGCCCAGCCCTCAGAGCCCTAATGGAAGAGATTAAGGATTAGCCGCTGTCCTGTGTGATCGGCTTTGACAGTCCGGCCACCAGGAAAGGATAAAGCAAGCCAACACGCTCCGAAGCGCCACAGAGAGCCTGGCCTCCCTCTCTCCGGCCCCCGCTCACGCCCAGGCCTCACCAGCTGGCCGGTTGGTGCTGGTCAGCCAAGGCCACACTGGGCTGGTGGGCACAGATGGGAACTGTCTTTACTCCTCTGGTGTGTGACAAGCCACTATTCTTTAGTACCACAAGGCTAACACTTGACACTGACTTTGCCTTTGCCTAGTGCAGTGGTCGGCAAACTGCGGCTCATGAGCCCCGGTTTGCAGCTCTGTTAATTAATGAGTTTGCCAACCACTGCTCGACTAAACGTTACCGTGTCCTTGGAAGCTGTGAGGATTAGGCAACTGTGGCATATTGTGTGCAAAGAAGTAAAGGATAGTATATGACAGTGGTTGGCAAACTCATTAGTCAACAGAGCGCCAAACTGCAGTTTGCCGACCACTGGTCTAGTGCAATAATCTCAGAACTTTTTGAGTAAAGATTTTTTTCTTAATGACATTACCTTGGTAGACTGGAGGTGCGACATGGTGGGTGGGGTGTGTGTGAGAGAGAGAGTATGTGTGTGTGTGAGTGAAAGTGTATGTGAGTGTGTGTATGTGAGAATGTGTGTGAGAGTGTATATTTGTGTATGTGTGTGTGAGTGAGTGTGTGATTGAGTGTGTGAGTGTGCATGTGAGTGAGTATATGTGCATGTATGTGTGTGAGTGAGAGTGTATTTGTGTGAGAGAGTGTGCATGTGAGTGAGTGTGCGTGAGTGTGTGTGAGACTGAGTGTGTGTGATTGTGTGTGAGTAGTGTGTGTGTGAGTGTGAGTGCATGAGTGAGAGTTGTGTGAAGGTGTGCGTGTGAGTATATGTGTGTGAGAGTGTGTGTATGAGTGAAAGTGTGTGAGTGAGAGTGTGTGTGAGTGAAAGTGTGTGAGTGAGAGTGTGTGTGTGAGTGAAAGTGTGTGAGTGAGAGTGTGTGTGTGAGTGAAAGTGTTTGAGTGAGAGTGTGTGTGGGTGAGTGAAAGTGTGTGTGTGAGAAAGTGTGTGTGTGTCTTTGAGAGAGAGTTTAGAAAGAGAATACATGTGAAGTTTTTCTGACTAGCATACATTCTCCCTTCTCCTGGTAAAAGTCACCCTAATTTCTTACTGGGAAACCACTGAATTTCAATACCGATGGCTCTGCTGGGACTTAACCTGCATTTGGGCTCAGAGGTGCTGTGTGTCCTAGGCCTGAGTCCCGCTCTGTTCCACCCCCTTCTACTGTGATTGTCTTCAGAAAAGACATGCCTGACCCATGTCCCTCCATCCAATCACCGGCCTCCTGCTGGGACTCCCAGTGAAGAGGCTCTCTGTGCCCCTGGGGCTGCAGGGGACCAGCCTGCCTGAGCAGGAAGCCGGGGACGAGAGCAAGGCCGAGTGTGTGGAGGAGGATGCTCATCCCGCGGCTCAGGATGGAGCCACAGCTGAACCAGGCCTCCCTGGGCTTTCAAAGGCTTGAGCAGATAAATCTCATTTTGAAGCCAATTTGAAGTAGGTGTCTGCCCTCTGTAATCCAGAGACTCGTGACTCAGACAGACACTGACAGAAAAGTAATTGCATTTCAGATTCGGGGAGAGGAAGAGACATTAGCTTCTCCATCACCGAGATCAAAGGAAAGGGGTGAGAGAAGGGGAACAGACCTAGGCTCTGCCAGGCAGTGCTCCCCTGACCCTTAACTGGGGGGTCTGTGCTGCAGAGGATCCCAGGAAACGTGACCATAAGGCTTTGAGCATTACTGATGACTGTGGCTAACAATTAACACCCCACCTTATTTCCTGTTACCCAAATCTCAACATTAATCATTCAGTAGGAAGGTAGGGGAGGGTGCGGATAAAGGGGAGAGATCAACCAAAGGACTTGTGTATATGCATATGAGCCTAACCAGTGGTCACGGAAAATACAGGGGTGAGGGCCTGTGTAGGGAGGGGTATGGGATGAGAATGGGGTGGAGGAGGGAGGACAAATATATGATACCTTAATCAATAAAGAAATTTAAAAAATAAAGATTCAGTAATTTCTCAAAGCCTGGATTCTCATCAGACTAAAAAAAAAAGGGTTTTCAAACAAACTGGCCAGGACAGAAGAAAATATAAGGTCACTGTAGATATAATGGTAATTGACAGAGACTCATTAGCATGCTGATGACTTCTAATTTTCAAATTTAATTAATGGATAGAAATGGCACTTTCTTTTAATTTATGTCATTAGTCAAATGAACTTTCTAATTGAGATGAGCATTCTCAAAATTTATAAACTGGTAAATGACTTTAAACATAAACTATCGATAAGGTTCCATCTGGGTCTGGTCAGAACTGGCTTTCAGAACTTGAAGAAAGGGTGGGGGGACAGGGATTCATTTCATTTCCTGGCCATTTCTAGACAGATATGTTGTAAACTGTATTCAAGTTATTCACTGCCACACCCTCATAATGATTCCAAATCTCATCTCCACTTTTCATTAAATGCAACCAAAACATTACATCACATCAGGCAAAGCAGTAAGTTTGGCCCTTATTGTCAATAACTGATACAGCTTATAAAATGTAAAGGAAAAGCTTAAATTTGACAAGTATGAAAACTTCTAAAATAGATCGCATAGAAATTTCACTGAGGAAATGGCATGTAAAATGAGTCTGTGGCCGGACTCGGCAAATATCATAAAGACAAAGGCTGTTTACTATGAAAAAGTAATTGGCAAGCTAATCAATAACATTTTCCCAAGGTCTAATAGTGGTCTTGCTCCACTCCCCGTGAAAGGAGGAGTCACCTGCTCCAGCAGGAATGGAAGGAGGAGACCAATGTTTCTGATCTGAAATAATTTGCACTCTAATAATTTTTTTTAATTTTTTAAAATATATTTTATTGATTTTGTACAGAAATGAAGGGAGAGATATAGAGTTAGAAACATCGATGAGAGAGGGTCATTGATCAGCTGCCTCTTGCATACCCCCTACTGGGGATATGCCTGCAACCAAGGTACATGCCCTGACTGGAATCGAACCGGGACCTTTCAGTCCTCAAGCCGATGCTCTATCCATTGAGCCAAACTGGTTTCGGCTGCACCCTAATAATTTTAAAAAGAAAGTAATCCATGGTGAAAAATTCAGTTTGTTGGATTTCCTTACACCTATTTTAGAGTTTATTGTTATGACATTGAATTGCATGTGACAACATACCATACATTTTTCCATGCTTAGGGAATGGTTTCTAATGCTTTCAATCTAGTCTTGATAATGGGTAAGACTTTTGAGGCACAGAATTCCAAACACAGAAAATATCTGGATCATACGAAAATAGATTCATATAAAGTAAAAGGTCTTTCAATGACCAAATAATCATTTTTGAACATGTGTATGTCAGTTAAGCATTGCCAGTAGGAAGGCATGGCATGTCCACTTGCCATTACTGATGCACCAATGATAGCCAATACGCACATTATGTGAGAATAATGACTAAATTTGAAGTAAAATTGTATATATTTAAATTGTACACATGTTTTTTAGGTGTGCAATGTGATTATTTTAGGTACATATATAGTGAAATAACTACCATGATCAAGCTAATTAACATACCTACCTCAGTTAACATTTTCTTTTTATTTAAGATCTACTCTCTCAGCAAATATCGTGTGCAATAGTGTCATTAACTCAGTCATCATGCTGTACACACTAGATCCTCAGAACTTACTCATCTTAAAACAGAAAGTCTGTTCCCTTGACCAACATCTCCCACTTGTTCCCCTGTACCCACTGGCAGCTGTCATTCTTAGATTTACAAGTAAATAAATATTTAATGCTAAAAAGAAAAAAAAGCACTAGTAGAATTCTAAATTCTCTTTACTATTAAATAAAGAGAATTTAGAGGTTTAAAGGTGAAAAATTACTTGTAATATATATTCTCTTGCTTCTAGATTTTCTCCTGAGAATACGGGTGCATTTTTGACAGTGTTCTTACTTGCAAAAAGAACTCACAGCACCATTTCAATGGCAAGGAGAGAAAGATAGTGAATGCACTGTTCTTAGGAGATGTTAACATCCTTCAGAAAGGTTGTAAGTGGAGGGAAAAGGCTCCTGACTCGCTTCAAGTTATAGCTGTGGTATCTAAAGAGTGTGTCCTTGAGTAATTGGCATAGCCTCTCTGAACCTCGGTCTCTTCATCAGTAAAATGGAAATAATATCAGGACCTAACTCTGAAGACTGCTATAAGGATGAAGCAAGAAATTGCATGTAAAGCACTCAGCACAGGGCCTGGTATAAAAATCAGTTGGTAAACAGTTGCTTCTTATATTTTCCCCAAAATAAAATACAATTATTCCTTAAAATTGTAACCAATCACTCACTGCTTTGCCTCAGGAGGAGTGTTCTATGGAAGACCAAGGTTGCTGTGCCCTCTGAGCCTGGGCTGCAGGCCTGAGCAGTCCCATCACCCCTCCTTATGGTGTCTTACCTCGTAGTAGCTCTGGACAGCATTCATGAAGGCCTCGTCAGCCACGATCTGGGTTTCCCCGTTGAGGAAAGCCTGGAAGCGGTCCTTGACGGTCTGCAGCTGCTGTTTGCTGATCTGGAAGAAACAGAGAGAGGAAGAGTGAGCACTTGTTCCATCCAAAGATCATGGGACTTTACACTCAGGCCCGTTGGTGTGCAGGTGAGAGCTGAATGCTAAGTTTGCAGGAATTTTTTGAGGCAGTTGTTAAACACAGCCATTTCTAAAAATTAATATGAATTAGTTAAATAAACATGTTAAACAAAAGTTAATACATATTCAACATTCATTGCTTTTTTATTATTTTGTCACATTTTACTATGATGTGTACTTTTGGGGTTATTTACATGTATTGTTTGTATTGTGGAGATGATATATGTGGGCTACTATCCCATGTCTCTCCCCAGCTCCACATTCAGTGACATGTTATTGGAAGCTTGATATCAGCCAAGGTGGGAGCAATTACAGCATGGAAACTGGCAATTGCTGCAAGCCGGGCTGTTTGATGTTGGTTGGTTTGGTTTGTTTGTTTGTTTGTTTTAGAGATGGTTGTTCCACACACCAGGTGCCTCGGGTGGTCTGATACACCCTGCTTTACAAAGCTATAGTGGCCAAAAGTCTAGTGCTGGCATTAAAACAAACAAGTAACCCAATGGAACCACTCTCAGGGACCAGAGGTAAACCCGTGCATATATGGTCAACTAATATTTGAAAAGGGAGCCAGGACACTCACTGGGTAAAAGATGGTCTCTTCAATAAGTGATTTTGTAAAAACTGAATATTCACATGCAGAAGAATAAAATTGGATCTCTATCTTAATCATTCACAAAATTAATGCAAAATAGAATAAAGACATAATTAATTAATCCCCCCAAACCTATAAAATTACTAGAATAAAACAAACCAAAAAAAGGTTCCTTAACATTGTCTTGTTAGTGGTTTCCTGACAAGAAAAACACAAGGAACAAAAGGGAAAAACATACAAGTGGAGCTACATCTAACTATTAATAAGAACAGCATGGGAGGTGGGTCCAAGATGGTGGTTCAGGTGGGTGCTGAGTTCACCCCCTCCCTATATTAAACTTATGCTTATATTTTGAGCAGTTCTTCTTAAGAGACAACTAGGAGCCAATCAAACAGCATTTGAACAACAAGCTAGAGAGTGGGACTGCATAGAGAAGGTCAGGAAACCATGAGAGCTCTCAGGGAGCTGAGGGAACAACCCAGAACAAGAGGAACTGGTGAGCGCCATTGTTTACATTTTTTCTGAATGTGGATAGTGGGCGGGAGTCCATCCAGCTTCTCTGGCTGATTTGCTGAGCACTGTGGCATGTCCCCAAGCACCCCTCTTGGAACCAGAGCAAGCAGAAACAGGAGGGCACCATAGCACACACTGGGATGCACACACAAGGGGCTCCCCCACCTGAAAAAAGTGAAGTGCTGACACAATGCTGTGGTGCACACCTGTACGGCTCATCCTGAGAAAGTGCTGAGGTAGTGGGCACTGCTGCATGCCCATGTGGAGCTCTCCTGCCCAAAGAAAATGTGGAGCTAGCAAAACTTTGTGGTACCTACACTCAGGGGTGCCCTCTGTGGAGTAAGTGAGGTGTTGCTGTGCACACACAAGGCTGCCCTTGGGGAGAATGGGCAGAGCATGTAGGGCCCTGAGAAGCAGGCATGCAGTAGTGCACCCTGACCCTGCTCTGACTGTGGACAATTAAAGCAACAGGGCACACGGGCAGGGATGACCATGTGGAATGAGGGGCATGACTGAGTATGTGAGGAGCTGTACTCCCTAGAGAGGGAACAGAACTAGTGAAGTGCAGCCAGGAGCTGGGGTGTCATGGTGGGGGAAGTGGGGAAATATTTTCAAAAGGTATAAAACTCAGTAAAAGATTAACAAGCTCGAGGGATCTAATATATAGCATGGTGATTATAGCTAATAGTACTAAATGGTAATTATGTCAGGGGATGGAGATGTTCATTAACCTTAATGTGATAATCATTTTATAAAATATACATGTATCAAATCATTACATTGTACACCTTTCACTTAAATATATGTCAATAATACTTGTAAGTTATGGCTGAATTTGTTAGATGATCTGTATTGTCTTGCTGTTTTGTTCAGCAATGTTTCCCCAGGGCCAACTTATGCTTTACACACGACAGGCACTAAATGAAGTGCTTGTTAAATAAGAAAGTGAATAAAGTGCACAAAAGATAAATTATTTTCAATATTCTTTCCTCAGCTCTAATTTACCTAAAAACGTCAGCTAAAAACTTTGCTCTTTCCATCATTATTTATAAAGTTGCTCTTCATAACAAGAATGGGATACTGCCTGAGAACTGCTTTTCTAGTAGGAGGAGAAGGACAATTCCAGTTCCTGTTCTACCCACCTCTGTGTCATCTTGGAAAAGCCACTTCTGTTCTCTGAATTGGCCAGAGAGTTAAATGCTTTTCTGGAAGAGGCCAGGCTTAAATAAATAAATGTCATCTCCTCCTCAGTCTTCTCGCTTAGAAAGCAGATAAACTTTCACTGGGAAAATGGTGGTAATTCTAATAGCTATTCAATGACATAATGTGAGTTTTTTTTTAATTATGAGTTTCTATCTATATTTAAAATGCTTTCATCTTTAATATATTAATATATATATATATATATATATATATATATATATATATATATACACACACACACACAGTAGAGGCCCTCATATGTATAAACTAAAGGCCCATTGCATGATATTTGTGCAAGAATAGGCCTTCCTTCCCCTGACTTCACACCCAGCTGCCCAGCGGGCTGGCATGTCCCCTCTCCCTGGCTGTCAGGGAGTCCGCATATCCCTGCTCCCCGCCCACTCGGGAACTGGCAAGTCCTTGCTTCTGTCCAGAGCACCACTCCAGTAGCTCCCTCTGCCACTCCCTTTCCCTCATAGCAGGCATCATGTCCCTCCTGGTCACTCTATGCCTGCATATGCAAATTAACCTCCATCTTTGTTTAGTGAATTTGCATACTCACTCTGATTGTCTGTGGGCATAGCAGAGTGATGGTTAATTTGCATGTTTCTCTTTTATTAGGGGCCAGTCCTAGATTGTGAGGGGAGTGTCCAACTGCTTACAGATACCCCCCATTTTCTCTCCTCTTTGCCCCCCTCCACTCAACCTCCACTGTCCACCCCCTGCCAGACCTTCACAACATTATTGTCTATTAGAGGCCCAATGCACAAAGATTTGTGCAAGAATGGGCCTTCTTTCCCCTGGCTGCCACTACCACTTTCGCTCCAACTGGGAGCTGCCTTTCCACCTTCCCATGCTGCCCAGAGGCCTGGAGCAGCTGGGGTGGTGCAGAATGCCTGTGTCATTGCCATGGTGACAACGCAAACAACCTGCTCCACCCCACTCCCAGCCGCTGGGCACCTGAGTATGCAAATTAACCTATCATCTTTGTTGGGTTAATTTGCATACTCCCTCCTAATTGGCTGGCGGGCATTAAAGTTACAGTCAATTTGCATCTTACTCTTTTATTAATATATATATATGTGTGTGTGTGTATATATATATATATATATATATATATATATATATATATATATATATCAAGCCCAACTCCTTGCTTTCAGAGAGGAAGAGGAAAAGATAGAAACATCGATGATGATGAGAGAGAATCATTGCTCGGCTGTCTCTTGAATGACCCACACTGGGGATCAAGCCCATAACCCAAGCATGAGCCAGGAATCGAACTGTGACTTCCTGGTTCATAGTTCAATGCTTAACCACTGAGCCAGCCAGGAGTTAGGCTTTTATCAGAGTTATATTTGTTAACCACATGTATAAATTTACATTTTCTTATAGTCACATTTTAAAAAGTAAAAAGAAAAAGATTAATTGAATTTTAATATACTTTATTGAACCTGGTATATCCAAAATTATTAATGAGTTATCTTACATTCTATGTGATGTCTGAAACCTATGTATGTGTCACTGTCAGTACATCCAGGCAGAATAACCACACTGCGAGTGGTCAATATCACATATGCTGGTGGCTAGTCAGAATGAACTCACTTCTAAACTACTTGAGCTTTTGTATTCTCACCAGGACTAGTGGGGCTGGACAGAAAAACCACAGTTATTTTATATGTACTTGAAACCATTTAAACTGAAATATTGGGCAGAAGTTGATTTGTTCATAAAAGTGACACCCTACCATGAATTTCTTTTAAGCAGGACAACTTTAACTGGCTTAGATCATAAATCTTTACTGTGTGCCTCACAACTAAGGTGCCTCACAGAATATCTTGCTCAGAATTCCTTCCAAGACTGGGTCAATATAAATTTTGTGTAATTTGGGGGGTAAGAAGGAATGGAGTGAAGGGGCAGGAGAGGGAAGGGAGACCAATAAACCTTGATTTCCTAAATACTTAAGCAATGGAAATAAAATTAGGCACACACCCTCTAAATGACGATGATTGATTGTTCACTCAGACCAAATCCATTCTCACTCTAACCTTTTGTTTGATAAGCATAGTGTCATTTTTCAAGAAATATTTACAGAGCACCTACCACCTGCCTGGGCCGTGGGGTTTAATGATGATCAAAACACACTCAACCTCTGATCTCACTGGCCAGGCCCAGGCCCAGCAGAATCAAGGCCATAAGGGATTGTCCTCAGGTAACTTGTCCTTTAGAAAGAGGGAAAGGTAAAAACCACACAAAGGTATGTTTTAAAAAGTCAGAAGGGAGAAATTGCAGAATATAAAACTCTTAAAGAGAGGGGACCATGCCGAAACTGGTTTGGCTCAGTGGATAGAGCATCGGCCTTCAGACTGAAAGGAAAGGTCCCAGGTTCGATTCCGGTCAAGGGCGTGTAACTTGGTTGTGGGCACTTCCCCAGTAGGGGATGTGCAAGAGGCAGCTGATTGATGTTTTTCTCTCTCATCGATGTTTCTGACTCTCTATCCCCCTCTCTTTCTCTCTGTGAAATATCAATAAAACATATTAAAAAAAAAAAAAAAGAGGGGACGTTCAGCAATATCATTTCAGTCAGGTGAATGCCTATCATGAGCCCCCACAAAAT